ATTTTAAAGCTTGAATAATTTGAAATTAAATTTGTATCATCCTTTGGATGGGCACTGTGAGGGTGTTATAACCTTTATCACACGTAACCGCATCCTAAACCTAAAATCTGGTTTCATAGAGTAGAATTAATTATTTAAAGATAACTAAATCAATTTTGCGACTCCTCTTTAAATAGGATAAATTTTGTCAGGTGATCAATCACATCTTAACAAGATTAGTGGCGACTTCTAAACTCTATATCTAGCGGTAGGTCTATGGATCTATGCATTATAAAAGGTTTTTTTTTTTTTTTTTCTTTTAGGTTTCATTTTCATTGCTTTCCTTTCATTGTTGAATGGGTTTTTGGGTTTTATGGTTGGAAGTTTTGCATATTGTTATAGGTGTGTTTTTTTACAAGATTATGTTTTTGCATGTTATTGTTTTAGATGAAAATGAGTTTTTGTTATTTTTATTAACTTTATTTTTTAGTTTGAGCTTTTTTTATGAATTTAAACAGCTGATAAACTAATTGTTGGGTTTGATATTATTAGGAGTTGTTCAGAGTTTATCGTAGGAAGTATACATGTTTGATATGTTTTTGTTATGTGATGTTGCTGAGCATTGTCGGTGTACCTAAAACTTTCAGTTTATTATTCTTTTTGTAATGTGATTTATGTGTATAGTTAATGGAGAATAGTTGTTTATAATTAAAGAATCAAGTTCAAGAAGTTGAAGATGGTTTAGGAAAGGTGTTGTATTCATAAAATTAGTATACAGATATAGAGTGAAATAATTATGAGTAATAGGTTAGTATTTCATGGATTTATAGGATTTATGCCTCTCAATTGTAGAATTGCAAGATTGTGAGATTAGAAAAGAGAATTGAAGGCTCCTGTCTAAGTTTCAATTATTTTTTTTGTGGATTATAGGACATTTTTTTGCTCGTAGATAATTTTTTTTATTTTGCTAATTGCTCTTAATGAAATATGCCATGTTGCATAAAGTTACTTATGGATGTATCCATGTAATCTACGTATACGTTGGGTTGATTATGGTTTTTTTTTTCAAAAAATTATAACTATAAAGTTAATAGTTAAAACTAGAATAGATGTGTTGAATATGGAAACACGTTGTTGTGGATGTAACATTATCTGATGAGAGAATGATATTTGTTATAGAATTCTGTTGGAGGTTTTGAACAATGCTTTCATTGCTGCTAGAAACATTATCATTCTGTATTTGTTATTTTATGATATTTGTGGGATGAAAGATGTATTTTTTTTTTACAGTGTTTTAGTTAGATAATTTGGTCATAAGTTGGTAGTCCATTGTGAGATGACTTAATCTAATTGATAATATGCCAAAAAAGTGATAGTCCATTCTAAGATTGCTTGATCAGGAGAATTGATAGTTTCTTGTAACAATACCTTTATTATATGATGATGATGTTGAAAGAAGGAATGATTGTATTAACTTTAAGTAAGAGAGGTTGTTCAAATTGTTAGTCATTTTGTACTAAGAAATTGTTATCTATTTTTTTTTCTTTTTTTACCTTTGTCATTCTTGTATGAGATAGTTTATCATTTGTTTTCTTTATACTGGTGTTTTAAGGTAGAAGCCTTTATCTTCTATAAATATCGAAATAGAAAAAAGAAAAGGAAAGACATAGGTTTAGGATTATGGATGTTGGTAAAGTTTTTTTTTTTTTTTTTGACAATAATAAATTGTAGGTTTCAGGTTTCTGCAATGTAACCAATAATTTAGTTCCCAACTCAGGTTGCCCAAGAGTGATAGGACATATTTTTTTATTGTAGCCAACAAGTGTTAGGAAAATGGGGTCCAGTCCCATGTAAGTGGTTTTGGACCAAGTAAAGACCATGGGCCTTGATTTTTTATTTTACACAGAGTCCTAGCTACTTAATAAAAAAGAGGTGGGGTTGTTTTAGGTGTGTGTCGAAAACCAAGCAGAAAAAGAAGAAAAGCCAGAAAAAGCAAAGAGAGAAAAAGTAGAAGGGAGAGTTGGTTGAACGGAAGTCGATCCGTAGTCCGATTGAGTTGGAACCTTGTCAGGAGGTTTATGATTTAGAGTTCTACATTCTGAACAGTGAAGATCGGGTTTGAAGCTCTCTAGGAACAAATCCATAGTGTATTTGTTGAGTCACTTATTTGGTGAGATTTCTCCAATTGTTTCTCTAGTTTTTGATTAGTTCTAGTTTTAGCTAGAGAAGAACTTTGTATAACTATTATTTGATAGTGAAGATTTTTCTGGTGGTCCGTGATTTTTTCCCTCTACACTGGAGGGTTTTTCACGTAAATCTTGGTGTGCTTTATTTTTTCTGCGTATTTGATTATTGATTGTTGTCTATTGCTTCTGTATTGTTGTGATTATTGCTTCAGGCGCAACAACAAGTTACCTAAGGTTATATAGGATCATTGTTTCATTCTCACTAAAGTTATTTTGTTAATGATAATGTCTTTACAACTTTTAGTTTCCTACATTTTAAATTGAACAGATATTCTTCTACGAGTTGTTATGCTTTTAAAGATGTGCTTTAATTTTGATTTAATCAATATGTATCTAAGATCTCTCTCATTTGATTTAGAATTTTAGATCTTTCTCTTTAACATTTCTCTTTTTTTCCCGGCTTTCTATGATGTTACCGGTCGGTGGTAGACACGTAGTCATTCCTATGAATAAGATGAAAATACCGGAGGTTGACATGTCCAGTGAGTTATATTAAAACTCTTGCTTCATGTTCCTTTTAGCACTTACTAAATTGAGAGTTGAATTTGTTGCTTTGTTGAAGGTTTTGGAGAAAATTTTAGTTTATAATGGTATAGACCGAACACTTTCAGTTGAATATTTTGCTACATTTGGTAAATAACTTAGTTAGTGATGGTTGTCTAGATCTGTTATCTATTTTGAAATTTTGATCCCTTGAACCTTTGTTTGGTTATATAGTTTTTCGTCGATTATTCTGTTTTAACTCTATCCTATAGCAACAGCAAAAAAATAAGAAAAATGTAAGGCTAGAATTCTTTTCTTCTCTAAGTTTTCTTTTTTCTGTCTCCTTTTTGATACAAGGGTACTTTTGAGCTGAAAAAAGCCTAATAAACTGAAATGATCTTCTGCAGATTTTGAGTTGACTATATTATTCATCTGTGTTTTAATTAGTATTGATGTTATTGCAGAAGTGGATATGATGAAGGAAAGAGATCTAGATAATGAGTAAGATGATTGGAAAAGTTTATGGCTATTTAAAAATACGGTTCTGATATTGGCACAAGTACTTTCTTTTGATTAATCTTTTATTTTTTTCTTTTCAGTTGTTTGTCCAAAATGATTTAATTTTGTTTAAATTTTAGTAAGATGCATTTGTTCATGTTCTGATTAGTTTATGTGCTGTTTCATATCATGTTTTCTTTGACTACTGGTTTGGTTATTATCACTTGATAAGTTTCATTTGCTTTGGTAATTTTAGATTGTTGTATGCCTTATGCTATGGAAGATTGTTTCACTTATGAACTACGTTCAAGTAAGTAAAGCTTTTGTGTTTACTTTTACATTCTTAGACTTCTTGAAAATTTGTTGATACGTTTCTTCTATGTTGTTGGAGATGCATTAAATAACGTGAAAATCTGGATAAGCAAGTGTAATTGAGGCTTGGTGTAATTGCGGATGATATTGTTGATTCGTTTCTTCTTGGAAATCTGCGTTCAATAACTTATGAACAAACAACTTGCCAATTGTTTGGATTGCAAGCTTAACTTTCTCTCTTCTGTCAATCACCCTAACATCATCCGTCTTCTCTACGTTTGATAGGTTTGTTCGTATCTTTGGTTTTCTCTTTTTTTTTTTAGATTACAACAGTTGGTTGGTCATGATTTTTAGGTGTTTTTTGGAATACCCATTTGATATATCTCTTGAATTGGACTGTTTAATGGATTAACTAATTTAATTTCTGTGTGTTAACTTGCAAGTTTGGTTATTTAATTTCATGCCTGCGTTTGTTCCTTTGCATTAGTAGCAATTACTTGGGAGTGGGGAATTTAATACTCAATCACTTTGAGTCTCGAATATTAATGATAATTTGCATTTAGATGAAACCGAAGAAACATGTTGCTACTTTCTCCTATCCTCTAAAGCTTAAATGTTAAAGTCAAGTACCAAATGCTGTTAATTTAGAAGTTGTTGCTTATTTCATATCTGTTTTGCTACTCTAATTTTTACAAAAGATGCAACTAATTTTCTTTGATTTTCAGTCTAAAAGTTGTTTGCTCCTGATCCTTGAGTTCTGCGTTATAGGAAATCTAGCCTCTTACATTCGGCTTCATGGAATAATTTAAGAGCAATTAACAAGGAGATTCATGTAGCAACTTGATAGCAACTATTTTTTGATCTAGGTGATAGGCGGAAAGCAAGGCTTCTTCATTTAAAATTATATTTTATGTGGTGTCATTTGTTTCCTTAATGCAGGAGCTGGTTTGAAAGTTTTGCAATTTCACCATATTATTCACAAACACCTGAAACCAGAGGCATGAAAAGTAATATCTTTAACATGTTTACTCTAAAATATCTTTAATATATTGTTTTTTCAATTAAAAAAATTTTATATATTCCAAATTTTAATTATGCTAAATAAAAAAACCCCATAGCGAAGTACGGGTATCAGTTATGATAAAAATTACCCTACTTGACTAAATTATTGTTGAATGTGGTATATTCATGCTATAGTTTTCTTTGGGATCCGTACTACCAATACTTGACCACACACCTGGATTAAAGTGTGTGACGAACCGCAAATAAGAAAGTATACCCTGAGTTTCTGACCCTACAGTTAAGCATGTAACGGGCAAAATAGCTAATAATAGGAGAGAAACCAAGCCAGGAACTTCACTCGCCATTGAAGCATTTTGTTGAAACTTCTGGTGGTAGTTGCTTTCCCCTCAATTCTATATAAATGGTTTCAACCCAAATACAATTCCATCGTTCCTTCATTAGAATTCAATAAAACAAAAAAAGAAGAAATCAAATATTTGATAAAGGAAAAGCATGGCTGTAAAATTGAATATTGCAATTCTATCATTATTACTTCTCTTCATTTCCATTCCTAAAGCTAAATCTACTGTTCTTGATGTAGTTGCCAACTTTGGCGCAAAGGCTGACGGGAAGACCGACCTGAGCACGGTATGCAAAATACTTCTTCAACGGTGGAACATACGAAACTTTCTCTTGAAATGATACTTTTTTCGTTCTTAATTTTTTGGTTTTTGCCTTATAGCCTTTGCTGAAAGCGTGGAAAGAAGCATGTGCTTCGACAACTCCAAGCAAAATCGTTATTCCCAAAGGGACGTACTTATTAAGCCGAGCAGCCCTGGAGGGTCCTTGCAAGTCTTCCATCGAGCTTCAGGTTCAGGGCACCATAATGGCTCCGGCCAATCCGAGCGCTTTCAATGTTCCGGAGTGGGTAGTCTTCAACCACGTTGATGGGTTAACAATGTCTGGCGGTGGTGTTTTTGATGGCCAGGGAGCGGCTGCTTGGGGCAAGAACAATTGTGCTCAGAACAAATATTGTGCTGCACTTCCCCTTGTAAGCCTTTTATCATTTCATATTGGAAACTCTAGAATGTGAAATTATTCTTGAAATTCAAGTTCCTTTGGGTTGAGTGATTCTTCAAATTAAGAAAAAGCACAGCTTCAAAAATTTGTCTTGATGTCATAGTATTTCTTAGGCATTTAAAGAATTTAAAGGCTATTGTTTAGTTGATGAACCACGAATACGTTTTCAAAGCGTTTCTACATCCTAGCTAGCATTAGGAGTACTACATTTTAACCCTTTGATTTTACCACTAACGAATTTATTTCTCGTGATGCTTAACAGAATTTAAGGTTCAATTTTGTCAACAACGCGATGATACAAGACATAACTACCAAAGATAGCAAACAGTTCCACGTTAATGTTTTGGGATGTCAAAACATTACTTTCCAACGTTTCACTGTCTCTGCCCCTGAAAATAGTCTAAACACGGATGGAATCCATGTCGGACGATCAAATGGAGTCACCATTCTTAACTCAAACATTAAAACCGGTGATGACTGCGTTTCTATAGGTGATGGTAGCAAGAATGTGGTTATCCAGGGAGTAACCTGTGGACCAGGTCATGGCATCAGCATCGGCAGTCTTGGAAAGTACGAAGGTGAAGAACCAGTATCTGGAATTTTTGTTAAAGATTGCACCATCAGTAATACCATGAATGGTGTTAGGATCAAAACTTGGCCAGCATCTCATCCTGGCTCGGCATCAGATATGCATTTTGAGGGTATTACCATGAATAATGTCGGCAATCCTATCCTCGTTGATCAAGAATACTGCCCATGGAATCAATGCAATTTAAAGGTACATTACTTGTCGAAATCCTAATCAAGTGAAAAGGGTTACTCAATTATTTAAGCTTACATTCTTACTTAAATGATTATTTTGTTTATCCAGGTTCCATCACGTGTTAAACTCAGCAAAATTAGCTTCAAGAACATTGGGGGCACTTCTTCTACTCAGGTAGCTGTTAAAATTGTTTGCAGCAGCGGTTTGCCATGCGAGGGTGTGGAACTCGCTGATATTAACCTTGCCTACAATGGACCTGAAGGACCTGCAATATCCCAATGTTCCAATGTGAATCCCAAACTTTCTGGCAAACAGAACCCATCTGCCTGTTCCAGCAAACCTAGTGCTTAATCTCTTTGCCAAAATATAAATAATTTGGAAGCATTTATAGGTTTCCAAACAAATGAAATCTTGCTTGTCAATAACTGAAGAACACCTCGTCCCAAATACCTTTCCAAGATTAGTAGACATTTTTGGCAATTGTAACGTTAAACGACTTTTCTTTCTATCATCACCTTGCAAATCATGAAGTATTAGTCTCGTACAAGTTTTTTTTTTTCCTAAGCAATTAGTCATACAAGTTAAACATTAATTAATTCTTAATATACTTGAGGAGTGTTAATTTCCAAGGATTATTTCGGAGGTTGGAAAGAACTCGTTGACAAGAAATCACGAATATATAATAATTTTTCTTTTGCTTTTTGTTAGGCATATTTTAAAGATTATATTTAATTGCTTTGGTATTTTTTATTTGTATTTAGGGCAATAAAACGTACATATTTGCATTTGGTTCGGAAGAGGTGTAATTACGAATAAAATTGTTCTTATTCACAAACAGAAATTTATTGGATCTTGAAGTTGCACTCTCCAATTTGCAAGTTGAAGTATCAAATTCTAATAATTGGATCGTTTTTTTAAGAATAATATACTATAAGTGTAAAGGATTGAATGTAAGCACGTATCTGAATTTATTGATAGAAGGTTAAAATAATAAAAAAATTTTAAAACATTATCACTTTATTGAAATAAATTTCTATACCTTTTTTATATTTAAATAAATTTTTAATTTTTAATTGTATTCAAATAATTTCTTAATCTTTAATTTATGTTCAACTGCTAAAGCCCAATCTGGTGTTTTCATGTAGTTGTCAAGTATGATGCAGAGCTCACTAAAAGACGAATTTTAATAAGTAATAAAAAATGTACTAAATTTTATTCTCCAACTTTTATTTTAAAATGGTTTCTTTTTTATTTTTTATTTTACCTTAGTCATCGTGGGATGCTTGAAAAGAAGCTTGTGCATCGACAGCTTCAACAAAAATTGTGATTTTTAAAGGAACATATTTATTAAGTAAAGCAATCTTGGAAGGGTAGCTTCAGGTTCACGGCACCGTTAATGTTACGGTAAATCTTAACATTTTGAAAGACATTTTTAAGTAACCCAAAGTCCCGGGGTAAAAAAAGTTCTAATATTTTGGAGTAAACATTTATATTTAAAAAAATCATATTTTCGAGAAGTCATTTTATAAAGTGTATGATTGTAACATCACTTTATTTTTATTTTTATTTTTTTTTTATATTTTAACTCTATCAAATAATAGATGAAATAAAAATATATTTGAATTCACTTTTTTATCTCATTACGTACACCAATGAAAAAATAACATATTTGTCTTTTGGATAAATGTAAACAATTAATTTGTGCGACTTTTAACATGTAAAATATAACGAGGATGATTATTTTTTACTTTCATTATTTTTTTTTTACATTTTTAGATAACGTTTGATATCTTTTGTAAGATTATTATAGTATTTTTATCATTAAAGTGTTCTTGTTATTAAGGTGATCTTATCAATTATAATTTGAAATCAATTTGTTTAGTTAATAATTACTAATTCTTGAAAATTAAAAGTTTATGTATATGGATTATTAAAAATCAAACAGTATTTGTTTAAAAGTACCAAAATAATAATTTATTTTGTAATAGTTATTCAAGTTAATAAATTTAATGTTATTTAAAGATAATAATTTATAAAATATTAGTAATATTTTATTTATGTTATAATTAAATATAATTAAATTATTATAATGATAAATATATTTATTAATTAGTAAACTAATTTTTATAATATAAATTATTTAAAAAAATTTAATTAGATGAAATAAAACTAATCTATTAAATTCATAATAATAATAAAAAAGATTATACTATATAAAATATTAAAAAAAGTACATAAATTATTTTTAAATTTCTTACAATGAATATAGTTTGAAAATATAAAATTTTATAATATAAAATAATCATAATTTTAATAGGAAGCAAATTTTTAATTTACATATTAAATGGATAATATTGATTGTTGTTAATTTTATATATCATTTTATCTCGATGATAAAAGTTTCTTATTATTTTAGATGAGAATTAGATCATCCTTTAAGGTAGTGATCTGATCACTTTTAGTGATCTAATCAATTTTGATAATCCAAAATCATTGTCACATAAGATCATTTAGTGCTTATCAAACATAATGATTTAATTACCATATGTAAATTATTATAATGTTTAGAGTGATTATCACATACCAATCACTAATGAAGGACGTTTCTTACCTTAATTTAAGTTAATTTTAATGAAAACTGTAACCTGTTAAACCTTACATTATTCAATGACAAGTATTGTTACTCTCACTAAGAGAAAAAAAAAAAAACATATTTATATGTATGTAAATATATTACCCGTAATAAAACACCAATAAATGTTTTGTTTACACGAATCGATCGAACTAATTTAATTCGATTAATCAGTCAATCATTAAATTAATTTAGATCAATTATCAAAAATGATTTTATAGGAATTTCAATTTTTAATTTATTCGATTCAAAAATTAAATTAACGAAAATATAATAAATTAAATATAGCTAAAAATACATGAAATAAATAATTTATTTTCGAAATTATTAGGTTTTTAACTTAATATTTTAATATTTAAATTATTGGATGATTTTATTTAATTTGTTTCAAATATGAAAAATTAAGAGTTTAAAAAAATTTTAACTTAAATGTATTTATTATTCAATTAGCTAAAAAATTAATTGAATCGATTGAATTTAATTTGATCGATTAACTTTTGAAATTAATATATTCAATTTGATTTACGAAAATGAAATAACATAAATCGGTTAACTTATTTTTGAGTAATTATGTTCGAAATTAACCAAATAACTAAATGAACACTCTTACTCTTTCCCTTCCCTTCTTTCTCTCTCTTCTCGTCCTACATATAAATTAGTTTTAGCTAATTTGGTTAAAGTGTGTGGCAAACGGCAAATTATACTTACTTCCTGCAGATATAAAAGGAAAAAAGTAATAATAAGTATTCCAAGCTCGTATTTTACTCACAATGATAAAATTAGAAAGCATTTAGTTGGGAGAAAAATTTAAATGAAATTGTATAGGTAGAGTCCGTAAAGCTTTTTTATAAAAAATGAGTAAATGAAAATTAAAATCGAAAATCAAAATTGATAGATTAAAATATTTATCATATAGATTAAACGTATAAAATTTAAAAATTTTTTAATAAATTTTGATATATTATTAAAGAGATATTTTTAGTAAAAATTATTGATAAAATTTTAATCGTTGAATACGTATTAATTAAATTTGAATTATAAAAATATTTTTAATAATTTTTTTTACATATTATTGATTTTCATATTAAACTGAATCAATTTATCAGTTTAAATTATTTATTAAAATTTTTATTTATTTATTTATTATAAAAAATTTCATAAATTTCAAGTTTTATGTAGCTTTCTCAAAAACTCTATAAAAATGGTTTGAAACAAAAGAAAAGGCAAAATCATTGTTCCTTCACAAGAAAATCTCATTTAAAAATAGAAAGAAGAACTCTGGATTCTTGGAAAAGCAAAAAACATGGGTGTACAAGTGAATATTGCAGCTTTATCAGTCCTATTACTTTTGTTCACCTCAATTGCCAAATCTCAATTGGTATTTTTGAAATAGGTGCCATGTATGGCGAAAAGGCTGACGAGAAAACGAATTTGAGCCAGTAAGCAAAATTGCATCTAATTTAATTCTTCCACAATGAAATATATGTCGACACCCATTTAGCTCTGAAGTTTTTAATTTCCGAAATTCTGATTTATGATTTTATTGGATCATAATTCAGCCGTTCAAAGTTTGAGTTGCGATTTAACTTTGATATTTGGATATTTATGGGCCATCTAATTTAGGTTCGATCAGAATTAGGCCCGTTTCTTTTGTTTTCTTTTTATTTTATTATTATTTTTACTTTATGTTTCAGATAGAATCAAATATAAGATAAAAAAAAAACTGAATAAACAGAAAATTGGAATTTGATTCAGATAAAAACTATAGGATCATGAAAATTTTAAAATTCGAAGCCGTTCGAATAAGAGGGTTTTTCTTTTTGAAACCTTTTTTTCTGTTTGAAGTCAAAGCTCAGTTGAACAAAATAGAATTTCTTTTAAATTATAATTTTTGAATCTCAAACTGATTTTTAGCCTAATCTCCACTGTACTAACCCCTATGTCAAACCCAACAATCACAGGGGAGGAGGAATCATTAGAATATAATAGCAGTAAAAATCAACCTCAATTTCGTCCATCAGAAATCGAGTTCCCATCAGTAGAGAAGAAAATTTGTATTCTTAGCATCAATCCGGTAATCAAGCTTAATCTTTCAACCCAAAAACACCAAACAGAAACCACGCACTTAGGATCCAAGTTTGGCCTCGGCTAGCAATGGTAGAGCAGGAGGAAGGAAAGGCTAAAGCTTGTGGTGGTTGGCGATAGAAGGCAGCAGCTAAAAATTGGAGGCAACGTTACTGTGATTGTGTAAAGGCATTAGATTGTTTTGCTCAAAGAGAAAATAGAAAGGGGAATAACAAATAAGAAAAGTAAAGGCCAAGAGAGACTGGAGAAGACAACAATTTAACTTACGGAGCTTTATTCTAGATTTCTACTCTTATTTGTATTTAGGTTTTTTTTTTTAATTTTTTTCATTCATTTATTTGTCCACTTTATTTTATGCATAAATCTAAGAAAAGTGTTAATAAGTTATATGAATACAATAAAAAACTCAAATATGTTCTTAATAAAATAATTTTATAAGTTCAATCGATTTTGGTAATTAAAATATTATTATAACTAGTTTGTTATTCATATAATACACGAATTATTTTGCTTTATTAATTTACTTTTAATTATTATTCAATAGATTATTTTTCAATTGTATTTGAAATCTTTTTTTTTTTTAATTTTTGAGGAGATTTAGTTTGTGATGTGGCAAGTTAAAAAACTATTTATCATTTAATTTAGTTATTTGTTATTTATATTTGTTATCTATTTGATAAGATAGTCATAAATAATTTA